TAAAGTTATTTGGATTTTTGAAATGTTTTTCATTTTGGGAGTGAAATGGGAAATTGGAAAAGACTAGCTAACCCGGCTATCGAGAAAAAAAACGTCGCGGTAGGTAGGGTATAATATTACGTATCACGGAAACAAAATAATATAATGAGTCCTAATTATATCAACTTATTTTGCTGCAAAACTGGTTTGACAAATGTATTTCTTATAGATGCCCTTTACACAATCCCCCTTATCCTCCCTACTGATAATCAAAATATTTACCAAGTGCCCTTTTCCTTTGTAATAAGTGCCTCAATTCCCCTACTTATAAGTGCTCTTTTCCTTTGTAATCATTTTTGATGATTCCACTTCGCTTGCTACGTACGTTCTAGGTCTACTATAAGACACTTAAATTTCAGTGTCCCCCCCCCCCCTCCCCCAAGATATAAAACAGAGTGCACCCGCACCATAGCTGTTTTTAATTGGCAGAGTAGGTCTATGTAAAATATAAAATGTTGGCACCGAATTCACAGCGGTGGCCACACGTCGATTTCTCAAGGACTGCGGGTATCCATTATCGCCTCTCCTCTGTCGCACATCCCCCATACCAACTGTTGCGCTGAAGTAGATGTGAAGACTGTCAAGCGTCTTTTCCTGGACAACATTAGTCCGCTGTCGTGTAAGTAGGAGTGTAGTAGGACTGTAACGAGTAACGCGATGTCGTAGACGAGGCTCTCCCATAGGCACGTCGTTGTTTAGTGTGTAATTCTGACAAGCGTTCATCAGCACCTCTCGCTGAAAGATATGTTGACGAAGCTGTTCAGGATGAACCTGCTTGAGGACTTTATAATGTAGAATCCATAGATTGCGAAGCTTCCTGACGACCTGCAAGCTAGGGTACGCTACGTGTAGCAGGAGTCCAGCACCTCTCGCTCAAAGCAATCGTTGACGAAGCTGTTCATGATGATCATGTAGATGTAGATGTAGAATCCATAGATTGCGAAGCTTCCCGACGACCTGCGAGGGTCTCAAGCCACGTGTAAACAGGAGTCCAGATGTCGTTGACGAAGCTGTAAAGATGTTCAAGGCCGGTTATCAGGGTGAACTTGTTTGAGGTCTTCGTAGATGTAGAAATCCATATCTTCCACGTGAGGGTCGCTCGAAGATGTCGTAGATTCCATAGCGAAGCAACATCTTGGGGATTTTGTAGATGTAGAATCTATAGATTGCAAATTAGCTTCCCGACGACCTGCGAGGGTACGCTACGTGTAGCAGGAGTCCATCACCTCTCGCTCAAAGCAATTGTTGACGAAGCTGTTCATGATGATCATGGCCTAACTGCAGTTGCCGGTATGATAACTGCTTGAGGATTTTGTAGATGTAGAATCCATAGATTGCGAAGCTTCCCGAGGGCCTGCGAGGGTCTCACGCCACGTGTAAACAGGAGTCCCAGATGTCGTTGACGAAGCTGTAAAGATGTTCAAGTGAGGGTCGCTCGAAGCTGTCGTAGATTCCATAGCGAAGTAACTTCTTGAGGATTTTGTAGATGTAGAATCCATAGATTGCGAAGCTTCCCGACGGCCTGCGAGGGTCTCACGCCACGTGTAGACAGGAGTCCCAGATGTCGTTGACGAAGCTGTAAAGATGTTCAAGGCCGGTTATCAGGGTGGACTTGTTTGAGGTCTTGTAGATGTAGAATCCATATCTTCCACGTGAGGGTCGCTCGAAGATGTTGTAGATTCCATAGCGAAGTAACTTCTTGAGGATTTTGTAGATGTAGGGTCTCACGCAACGTGTAAACAGGTGTCCAGATGTCGTTGACTTAGCTGTAGAGATGTTGTCTGCGTCAAGGACACCAGTAGGACTAGTGTTGTCCAAGAGAGACCTCTTGACAGTCTTCACATCTACTTCAGCGCAACAGTTGGTATGGGGGATGTGCGACAGAGGAGAGGCGATGATGGATACCCGTAGTCCTGGAGAAATCGACGTGTGGCCACCGCTGTGAATTTGGGGCCAGCATTTTATCTTGATCCTTGATCCTTGATCCTTGATTCTTGATCCTCCCAATATTTGACTTTTAAAATTAGTCTATATATCCCCACAGTTGAAGCTTACATTTGGAACAGTTAATGAAATTTAGAGGCCTGTAATCTGAATAAAACCGATTTATGATTTGTCAGTATTGCTATTTAATTAATTAGATATATCAACAGTTACGTTAATTTGTGAAGGAATTTTACGAAACGGACAGAGATAGAGCAAATAAGGCATTTTTTGGTTTTTGTGCATATTTAATGAGCTCATTTGCATATAATCCGCATAATGAATAGAGTTTCTTAATACCTCCTTAGTCAGATGATAATTGTCGTTACTGGCCAGACACGAATAAGCGCAATATTTGGTACAGGGGTTTCTTAGAACCTACTGAACGATTTTAGGGTAGGAGCCCTCGGCAAAAGTTAATGTAGGGTTGTGGGGACGGGGGCGTCGTCCCGGAGCCCCCAAATAACATATAAGGTAAAAATACATTGGTTTCTTGTGACCAGGGCCATTTTTGGTACAGGGCTTCCTTATATGACCTATTGCACGTTATTAGGGTGAGAGCCCCCTGCAAACCTTTCATAAAAGGGTTTGGGGCGGGGCGTCGTCTCGGAGCCCCCAAAGGATATATAAGGTAAACATCATTGATTTGTTGTTGAACAAATGCAATTTTTGGTACAGGGCTTCCCTAGGACTTTCTGAACGATGTTAGGATAGGAGCCCCCTGCATAATATTCACATATGTGGAAATGGGGTCGGGGGCGTCGTGCCCCATGTTATATATATTATAAGATCACATTATTTTGTGGTTATACGACAGACTGTCTGTTTTGGTACATGGCTCTCCCAGGACCTACTGAACGATGTTTTGGTAGTAGCCTCTGGCTAATTTTTGTTATAAGTGTTTGGGGGCGGGGGCCTCGTCCTGGAGGCGAATTAAAAATTAAAAAAAACCTTACCCAGCCATCCTAGCGCTGCATTTGATTGGCTCAAAAGAAACATATACGTCATGCGCTCTTAAATATGCATAATACGCACGCACAAAGGATCTGATGCGATAATTTATCAAATAATGAGCTTTCATACAGACATTACCAGTGCAGATTTAAATGACATCGCAAATAATCGGGAGGCTTGCCGTAAACAAATGACTACCCAGGTCTACATTTGTCCATACTCATTGCGACATACCGGTTTATAGTCCAGATTCTGGCCGATTTAATTTTAATCTCCATGCACCAAACCGACGTACAAACACAAGTATTCAAATATTCAAATGCAGCGCTATGGCTTGGTAAGGTTACAAGAAGTCGCGTCCCGGAGCCCCCGAATGGTATATAATTGTGATAACAACACATGAATTGCTCTTATACTCTTATCTTATACGCCTTTTTTGGTTTATACAGGGATTCCTTAGGACCTACATATCGATATTAGAGTAGGAGCCCCGGGCTGGGGCGTTGTGTCGTATAGCCCCAAAATATATCCCAAGCATTATCCTCATAATTATGCAAATTACATTAACTTAATGTTAAAAGGATACAAAGATATATGGACTGATTTAATAAGCATAGCTGTTTCTATACTGGCTCTCGGAGACGTTACATCCATATGTAACGTCAATTGAGCCTATAGAAATAGCGATGCATCTCATAGCGGTCAATATATCTATACAACTTGCTTCGGCATGTGACATATAATTATGAGAGTAAAAAGTAAGATCTCATCTTCCAAATGGTGTCAATTATTATTCAGTTCAAATGTCATACGATATTTGTTTAAACGTCCAAATCTATTCACTTACTTCTATTGCAGTACCATCAGCCGACACCTGCAAAATCTTCTTTTTCCTTTTCAATTGTACGATTTAAAGATACTATAGGCCCCATTGTTGGTGCTTGCCTCCATAGAGCTATGATATCGCTCTATGCTTGCCTCGATCCTTCTTATTAAATGGTCGCGGCCGGGCTTATATGCAAAAGTGAACATAACAATAAGAAGAAGTAATGCATCAATAAAAAGGAAAGAAACGGGAACATAACAATAAAACAAAGCTGTGATTTAACCAAGGAGTCTGATATTGATAAATTGTTAATTCCACCCTCCCCCCCCCCCCCCCCCCCACTCCAGGAAGCGTTATTTTTTTCTACAGCACAGATTGGGGTTAGGTGCGTGTTGAGCCTATGGGAAAGATTAGGGTTAGGGTTAGGGTTAGAGTTAGGGTTAAATCAAGACCTCTTTTTTGTAAAGCCCCAATCTGTGCCGCAGAAGAAAAAAATGATGCCTCCGGGAACAGACTCAAAATCCCAAAATCTCTGGTATGTATAAAGGGGTACTTTTCACCAACATAGTCCGGCTAAAACGTAGGCCTACGTAATACACAAAAAATCGGCCCGTATTGACTTTGCACACCGGAATTTGGGGGGGGGGGGGGTGCTTTCAAATTAAGGAAGGAAAATGCATACGCGTACCCTAAATAACACTGAGTGAGGGGGGCGGGATAATTAGGATCACCATCCATGATTTCACCAACTCTCACGACTGATAATTTGTTTTGTCCTTTTTTAATACGTACGTTAACAGGGAAAAAAAATACTTCGGGGGCTACTTTTCAAGCTTGCTTGCATGAAAATGACAATCTTTAATTTGTTTTGCATTGAACTCTACGCACATTTTTGGGGGCTCTTTTTAGCATTTCGGGGGCTAATTCGCCCCGAGCCCCCGTGTATTTTTTTTTCACTGTAAATGTTGTCGTTTTTAGTCTCAAAGTATACATACACCATACATATAGTGTACTGCCAGTTATGATATGTGCCAAAGATTTTCCGTGTTTTTAATTTTTTTTTATACAACTATCATTGCAACTGTATTTCTTCCATGTCCCAGAAGGGGAGAAATACAAATCATTGTCTTGAGCCACGAAAGCCACGCCCCCAACATCTGACACATGTAAAGAAAGATCATTGAACCCGGAAGTTTATAACAACACGAACCGACTGTTTCTCGATCTCAACACTCGGCTCTAGCTTGAATGATGTACCATCATAGATTTGTTTTTCATAATCAACTAGCTTATCTGCTTCATCTACAATGGATGGAAGTAAGAGTAAACTGATCAACAGCTTATCCAAACTGAAGGCAGACGCTGTCAAAGCTGGGTTAACCTTGACCGAAGTGGAACATGTTTTGCTAGCGAAATGCAGCGATTCAGCCAAACGCGAGGGGCATGCCTCTGCTCTTGCAGGCCAGGGTTCTGGCGAACACGCTAGTGGGAACTCCGCTGGATCTCGTAGCCTTCCGTCAGCGCTCATCACCGTATTCTTCCGTTTTCTAATACCGTTGCTGCTTTGTTCGGCGGGTGCCCTGTCGTGCCTTCATTACTTTGGACATCTCAGCAGTTTGACTGGCATTCTCACAGAAAACCCATGCTTATTGGAAGCAAACCTCCTGCTAGTGGAAATTTCAAGACCCATCGAAAAATGCGATTTCTGCGAAGGGCTCACATCCTTCCCAACCTACAGAGACATCTCCCGCGAGGATTATCTGGACATACATGCCTACACCGGTCGACCAGCCCTTATTCAAGAAGGAGGGACCAAAAATTGGACCGCTCCGGATGTTTTCAGCGTCAAGTTCTTCCAAAATTTGTACAAGGATAACGAAAGGGCGTTAGAGGCGCAGGAGAATTGCCAGTTCTTCCCGTATAAGTCTGGAATCGAGTCATTTGAGGAATTTCTGAACATGTCTGATGAGAAAGCTGACTTCAAGGAGGAGCCGTGGTATGTTGGATGGTGAGTACTACAAGATCTGAACCCTTTAATTTGTTGTATCGCATATCATTATAATGATATCATTGTTGTGATAATGAAAATAAAGTAAGATTTTATTGACTCTATATCGACCCCCTCTCGGGAAATGAGAGTACAAACATATTTCAAACGTACTATCAATGAAACAATAGAATATAACAGGGATAAACATGTGATAATATGAATGATAAACATGATTATGTTATCAGTGTTGTGAACCATTAAAGTTGCGAATCACTCAATTTTAATTTCATAATTTAAGCCTCTTTATGAAGAATCAGAAGAGTATTTCCGACTGCCTGTCGAAACAGACAGTGTGCATATTCCTTTCAATTAAGTTTGATAATGGCTGTATACGTAGTGTGATATCAAGTATTGAATAATAAATTGTAATTTTCTTTCATTATTATGTGATGTTTCAAATATTATAAAAGAAGTATTCTCGGTCCTAAGATATTTAGTAATAATAGAATTTACGAGGAAAGGGGTGTACACTTATCACACGTGTTTTAAACACATGAGTGAGAATGATCTTTGTTTTACTCCTCTTTTTAAAACTTTTTCCAGCACACAAAGTTAGTATATAGTTCTAACAAAAGTTGCAATACTTATCATCTCTAACGTGCGAATTTTGTTGTTGTTGTTGTTGTTGTGATATTAGCGTTCACGGGTAAATGTACCTGTACTTTATACTAATACTAATAGCTATACCTTCGTCCTCATCATTTTGTATATTTCATATTTTGATGCAAATTCAATGATTATTTTGAATGCGTGAATCATAAACCTTATGGCAGTAGACCACTTCACGGTTAGCACATTAATTACTGCAATGACCTCGAATATTCACAGATCTTCAAAACATGAAGAAGTCCCACTTTGTACATTTGGAAATAATCACTCCTACAGCGATGGAGGTGCTACATAAATAGCCTTTGTTTCCCTTTTCAAAGAATACTTCCACCTGTGTGCCATGGAGTGCACTGCTTGTGCATAAATGAATACATAACTTTCATGAGCATGTATCCAGTATTTCGTCTCCGTGTATTTCACAATTTGTTCTGCAATGACCTTTATCTGCTCATGCTCAGACTGCAACCGTGAACTGGCTTATATTAGCTTAAATGGTCCATCCGTATTTAAAATATGTGCGAATATTACAATAATCCGTACACGATTTCTATAAGACATACAATAACATTGGAATTGCCCACGATTTATTTTGTTCACAAATAAAAATACTATATAAATTATTGCAATGGAAACAAAATATGAAGTCTTCTTTATATTAATACATTCATGTGAAAAAATACATTGTTATCTTTTAATTTTAGAAATGAAATTATAGTAATGTATTGTGGAGAATACATTTGTTCTGAGAAGAAACATGATGGGTTTTTTAAAGGGGAAAAGGAGAAAGAAATTTAAAGCCCTAGAATCTAAGGAATAATAATAATAATAATGGGTTCTTGTATCTATAGCGCTCATGTCTGTCAGACCCGACACTCCTGGCGCTCCCGATTATTACCCTGGTTTTATCACTGCTCTATAGCATTTCAAGGAATTAATTCCTGCCAGGTACCCAAATGTAGATCAATGTCTTGATGAAAGGAATTAATTTCCCTACCCTTACTGCAGAAAACCTACACCATCCCACCCCACCCCTCCCGCCCGATTTTGCGACAGTAGTTACGATCGATTTTATTTTTTTAATATTTTTTTCATTTTTAGGAGTAACTGTGATACTGTAATCGCAACCGAACTAAGGAGACACTACACCCTGCCTCACTTTCTTCCCGAGGGTTCCGAGTCCAGTATCACAGACTGGATCTTTCTTGGAGGACCAGGCCACGGGGCAAATGTTCATGTGAGCAAACACTCTTCAACTTTGTAGAAAATAAAAGAATGTGAAAGGACGCCGCTGGTTTGGGCAACCCAACTCAGTAATTAAGTCTTGCACATGAAGTTGGCAACAGTTATTGGTAAGTTTGTAAATTTGATGACCTTTTTTCTGAACCCATGTCACCCTGCCTTAGCAAATGTTGTAATCTGAGGAATAGAACCTTATAATTATGTTTGCCCTTCGATCATGATTAGTTTTTCTATCGGTAAACCTTTCGTCATTTTTTCACAAGGCTCCAAATTGCTGTATCTTATTTTGGGGGCAACACATGATTTCGTGTAAAGCTGTATATTGCCTCACTGTCTATATATGCGTCAAAATGCATTATTGCTTTTAAAGGCCCACTGCACTACTTGTAGCTACTTGCGCCCTCTATATAACAAACAATGCCTAATCGGTGACCATTGGTCCCCCATGATCCTCTTTTTCTTATGTTAACTGAGAGCTGAGTTGATGAGATAACCACCTGTCCAATGACCTTGCAGGGCGCTCTAATCCCTCCTGTAAACTATGGCAGATAAGCTTAAATAGTATCTCGTAATCGGTATCTGAGTAGGTTGTCTCTTCTAATTTGTCCCTGTTTGATTGTTACTATCTCTGACGCATTATTTTTCTCCATCTGTTTATTCTTCGCTCTTTTACGTAATTATCTGCACCTTTTCTACTCCTTTTCTACTCCTGTCATTCTTCCCACCTCTCTCTCTCTCTCTCTCTCTCTCTCTTACACACACACACACACACACACACACACACTCCCTCACTCACTCACTCACTCCCTGTCTTTCCTTCTCTTTTCCCCTTCTCTCGTCCTGTCTCTTTCTTAGGATATCGTCGTTAACTCCATTTACATGGCTTTTCCCTCCAAATTATAGGACTATATAATTTGTTGTATAAATCGTTACATTTTAATGAAACATGACTCTAGGCCTCACATTTCCTTCTTTTTTCGTCCACTCATTCACATTCATCATCTTAGATTGATAGTGTGGACAGACCCTCGTGGCAGGCTCAAATCCGTGGCTCCAAGACCTGGACCCTCATCCCTCCACCAGAGTGTGAACACGTCTGTCATGAAATCAACGCTACCATGGTCAAAGGAAGTGTCAGTAAGTACCCACAATCCCGCTTTTATTCAATACTCAAACATCTTCCTGCCTATATGTACATAATAAGGATGTGGCAATAGCGGCAGGGTAACCCAAACTATCATTACAAATTTGCTTTGCCCATCTTAATAGCTAGACTTTGAAGGAAAGATGTGTCTTCTGATTAATTGGATCTCAATACCTACCGACTATGACGACGGTATACACATATAGCAAGGGGAAAAGAATTTGGAATATCGCTTTGTTCCCGAGGAATATCATGACTTTGTCATAACGTAGTATGAGGCGCCATCATGGCGTCAATCTATTTTAGTCAATGGACGGTTATAAACTTTCGAAAAGAAGATGAAAACCCAACAGAGATTTTATTGTGATTAATCATATTAATACAACACATTCATGGTTTCCAACTACTTTGAATGTATCTATTGTTAATAGATAATGGGTAGTAACAAGTGCCTAACACTCGAGTATAATTCATGATTATTTTATAAACGTTTATCTATTTGATATTTCAATTTGATGTTAATATCTTTATTGCCTTTTAATTTATTTTTTGATCCTGCAGTTGTGGTTGACACCAACAGATGGTATCACAAGACGGATATCCACCCAGGCGGTATCAGTATCACCATCGGTTCGGAGTACGATTAACCGAATCTGTCTGTCCGTCTTCCTTCCTTTCCGCGATGACGGCCTAAGTTGACGGCATGTTTCTCCTGCTGAAGATTCTGAGGCTATGTTCTTGTTTTGTAAAACATTGTGAGTGCTAAACCATCAAAATAATGGACAATCCTTGTTGCTTTCTTTCGTCAGAAAGACGCTGACATAAAACAATACAATGGAAAGAAAATAATGATTACATCTAGCAACGTTACCGGAGATGGTGTCATCGAACTGAATTGTTGAAAATCAATTTGTACTGTTTCGGGCCATTTTTGTCGGCGTTCGCGGAGAGACATTCCTGACCTCTTCGCAATTTTATTCCTTGGATTCTGCCTCTGAAAATGAGGCATATAATTATAACTGGATCGTTCTTGCTCGGTTTAAGTAAAAGTAAAAAAGAGGAAAACAGTTGTGAGTCGTGATAGATTGAGTGACATTATTCACAACGGTTGTGAACTTCCTTTACCGCCGTCACCCTCGACACACAAACTCTACAACTTCTGACAGCGGATTTCAGAAACCATGTCGTAGTCGCCATGTTGTCGAAGATTAATTCAACTTTGTAAGAACCAAGGAAAAGTAGTAAATTGATATTAATCCTAAGTCAGGCCTACGAAATATGTGTGGGGTTGATATTCAAACCCAATCAATCGATTTATAATCACATGTACAGTTTGTATTATGTGTATATTTTCTTTCATGTCATAATTACGAACTGGTGTTTTTGTTTTGTCTTTACGGAATAGCATATCTTGTAAATATAATTTTGGTGATGAACAAAACTGCCTGTCATAAACTTGAAAATTAGTTCCTTCTTTCTATTGGTAGAGAAGAAAAATTGATTTTCAAGTTACATCACCAATCAGACGAACCTTTTCAGTGCCTAGCTCGTCATAAAGCAAAGCGACCATCCCAACAAACACCAAAAACCCATAATTTGTAAAGTGAAACATTTATGTCTTACCTAATATTTGAAAACTATGATTCAATTTCATCTCATGACCAGAAATGGTTGAAAATTTGTGAACATTTGTATATTTACTAATTAAAAGTCAAGATGTATTTTGTCTAAAGATTCTAATGAATAAACAGTACTACTTGTAGTTTCTTAAATTAACTTCGTGAAGAGTGCTATTTTTAAAACCAAGTGCATGGACGTTACGGTTCTTCACATTCCAAACAAGGAGGGGAAGAAGGTCTGGAAGAAGGAAAAAATAGAAACTCATGTTGATAGGGAGGAGAAGAAGGAGGAGAAGGAGGTGGATAAGAAGGAGGAGGAAGAGGAATGTGAGGAGATGAAGGAGGAGAGTAAGAGGAGCTTTGTGGTTGATTGGAGGGAGCAAAAAGGGGTGAGGGAGAGGGTGACGATGTATGGGAAATATAGGCTGGAGAAGAGGGTTCAGGAGGAGAACTGGAGGTTTGGGGAGGAGGAGACTTAGGAGGAGAATTAGGAAGATAAAGAGAAAATGGAGGAGGAGAGTTAGCACTCTCTTGAAGAGAGGGATTACGCGAGATGGGGGATGGAGGAGGTGGAACTATCTCTAGTTCCATGTTTTCAACTAAGACCACTCCATCAATCTTCTTGTTCTTCCGACTCCCAGCGTCTCCGAGTCCTCTCATGCTCGGTCGCGGGACCGGCGACAACTTAATCAGCCCACAACATGTGCAACACGCGATGTAGCACATGCCGCAGTACGTGCAACATCCCAAACTCTTCGTGCCACCGCTGCAAGCGAACTTTTCTCTTGTGTGCTTGCTGAAAGTCGGATGCAACGCAACGTAGACAATCGGCTGCAGGCTTGCCGTCAAAATGGCTGCCATTTCGCTCAACTGCGTGGCTACAAAGATAGCGATGTTGCCAAAGGGTATGGACAGGTAGATGATCATTTTGGTGATGTAACGCGCGCCGAAGTTAAACGTGTAGAGAAGGATGATGACGAGGATACTACGCAGGACCTGCTGATCGTGGTAGAGCCGGTATTCCTCTGGCGTACGCGTCACCATTACGCCATCCCTCTTGACGCGCATGGAAGCGCCGCCTCGCCTTCGAAGCTTGCGTCTGATGGCGAAGTAGACGACGGTGATGACGCTCAGGGGAATGATGTAAGAGACGACGAACGAGATGGCCATGGCGACTTTGAAGCTCGATTCGGAGATGTCGTAGGTACCGTTGGTGATGTCAACGCTGTAGAAGATGGGTGCACATACCGCCAAAGAAGCTGGATATAAAGAGAAAGTATTTGAATGAAACAATTGGCGAGAATAATTATGATAGTCACAGAACAAAAACGAACAAAGAACAAAAACGAAAGTCGAATTCGGCACTGCATAAGAAATTACAATGTGGTACGATGTAATTGCGCACACAATCATCATGGATATACAGACAAGTGTTAGAGGAGATCTCTATTAAATAAAGGAAATTAACATTTTGCTAGAGCCAGAGTATTCTTAAAACTTTTTGAAACGGGAAGTTGTCGGGAAAATTTGCCGAAAGAAAAGCACTAATACAACTTTGTATGACGAGAGTGAAAAGAAATCTTGATTTTTGGAAACTTGTCGATCGTCATTTTGAGAAGAGGCCTATAATTTCGGTCTCGCGGACTTTCGGTCAAACGGTCCTCATGAAGCCAACTGAACAGATGGTAGCCTCTTACCAATCCAAACGAGGGTGCATATCCCTGTGGTGATCTTCACCTTGGAATACTTGGCCAATTTCTTCGGATCGACGCTGATGGCAACGTAACGATCGACGGAGAGGGCCGTTAACATGGAAACGTCACAGTTGGTTATGACCTGAAGAAGAAGAAAAATTGTCATTTACGGGGAAGTTTCGTTCTAGATGCAGAGGTCAAATAGTTACAGGTGATTTTCAGTTACAAAGAAATAAACGTTACCGTCGTAGCCCCAGAAGAAGAAAAAAGAGGAGGAGAAAATTAATACATACTTTTAAAAATACTTTTTTTTAGAAACAGTGCGCGCCTCAGATTGCAGGAGTGCCTTGAGCATTTTGTGAATGGGGGAGGGGGTGACAACCCGTAAAACCTTTCCCCTGTTCATCATTTTCTTGATACGCTATTGCATTTATCAGAAATTGTATAAAGTACTAATTAAGTAGGTCCATGTTTTCAGGAATTTATACCTATAACAATGGTACTGCAGTACTATGGTGCTTAAATTGTCGTATCTATATTTGACTGGTATAACAAAGAATAAGGCATAGCCTGCTGTTCATTATGATAATCAACCTTAAATGTAGCATATGTACTTCGATATTCTTACTCTAATAAAATCTCATTCCTAATTAAAGGTGAGTCTGATACCCTGTACCAAGTGGAAATGGATTAAACAAAAACATTCAGAATTTAAATTTAAACTTACGAGACTTATGTAGAGGTGAATGGATGAGGGTATGATACTGCTGTGGACTATATCACGAGTCGTCAACACGTAATCGTAGACGTCGGTAGCACCGATGACGACCAGGTAGATGAGATGAGTCACGCTCAGGTTGGTCATGAAGAGATTCGAGAATGTCCTCATGTCTTTCCGGACGATGATGGTGTAGACGATGTAGACGTTTGCTACTAGTCCGATGATGATGAGGATCATGAGAATGGGAGAGAGGATGCTTTCGAAGTTGACGACCCAATCGCATTCGTCGACCGTGTAGCCCGAGCCGCAGATCGACTCCGACGTCGTGGTGTTGGTGCCTGGTGCGGTGCCGTAGTATGATGTTGTCGTCGAGACGTTTGCCAACAGCGTTGTCATTTTCTTTATTGGTTTTTTAGTGGGAACCATTGTTGTCGAATTGAATTTCGGTATCGGTAAGACAGAGCTATTCAAAGTGCTCACCGTTGAGAAGATAGAGGTTGAAACCTTTTGGACCACTGGCTTTGCCGTGGTCATACCCGTGGTTATTGCGGTCATTATTGATTCAGTAATCGGTTTTTCAGTCACTTTGTCAACCATCCCTGTATCTACAGCTCCTACCGCAGGCCTAGCAAAAGCGGTATCAAGATTATCGGAGATGGTGTTCCGAAAGAAATCGGTGATGTTCGGGAAGACATCAGTGATATTCGGAAGAGAACCATCTATGTTAGGGAAGTATTCTGTGATGTTGGGAAAAGAGCCATCTATGTTAGGGAAGTAGTTAGTGATGTTCGGTAGGAAATCAGCTATGTTCGGCAATAAGTTTGCGACAATCGACGCGGAATCAGCTATGTTCGGCACAGAGTTTGCTGCATTCGACGCGGAATCAGCTATGTTCGGAAAGGTATCGGTAATGTTCGACACAAATCCAGCAATGTTCGTCAAAGGATCGACTTCTGGATCTAGAACTGGAAGCTCATTATTGGTCTGCATACTATCTTCTGGACTATAGTCTGGCTCCATTATCATGCTGCTGCTTATAACGAATATTTTGGAAATAAAACAAAATTATTGGGTTATGCACTTCTGTGCCGTGTCGTTATGGCAACAATATTTGAAAGATGAAACGGCAATAATTGCGTCCTATGTCTCCTCCTGTACTCGATAGGAGGATGAAGCTGCCCTGTCAACCGAGCAATGAAACCCAAAATGAGCAAAGGAACCCGTGTCCGAGGCAGACGGGTGACCGAACATACCAAAAGTGAGGAAACAGATTGTTGCAGGCCGGCCAGCTGTGGTACCGGTAGATTTGACAAGTAGACCTAATACGCGTCCTATTCTGTCACCATTCAATCATGTGTCATCCATACGAGGTAAAGAGGTATTTTGATATCGGTCGGTATGCTCTTGTGTGTCATGATTGATGAATGTCAAAGACAAGTGGGTTAAAGTATGATGAGAGAGAGAGAGAGAGTGTGTGTGTGTGTGTGTGAAAAATAGCAACAGAATTGTTTTCGCGACATAATTTTTGTTCAACGAAAGTGGAAGGAATGGAAAGAGGGAAGGAAAAAGAGAGACATAAAAGAAGAAGGAAAGATAGATAGATAGAGAGAGAGAGAGAGAGAGAGAGAAGGGGCGAATAGAGAGAGAGAGAGAGCGAGGTGGTAACTATGATGAATGAAGAGAGAAACAGAAGATGTTCTGAGATATTTGCGTCATAATCAGCGCGAGAGAATAAAATGAGAAGCGGACAGAGAAAGAGATGTAGCCGAAATAGTGAAAGGAGAAGGAAGAGATAGGAGAGATAGAATGTGTGTTGATAGATGCAGAGAAAGGGAGAGAGAGCGAAAGAGTAAGGGGTAGATTGAATATGACCTAACGACATAAAATAGTAGGAGAGAAAAATGTTATGGGAAGAAGGGAACTAAAAGAAAAACGTGGAAAGAGCAATTGTGAGAAGACTGGTATTTTATATGCGCAAAGGTTGTTACCATTTAGCATGGCGCAATTGGTGATTACACAGTAACAAATAAAATGTTTCAAAGGAAGGAAAGAACCCCAAAATATGTTTTTTTTTTTAATGTCCCTTTCAATCACCTGTATGTTTTTATACCGAAAATAAAACCAAACGTATTAAAACAGCTATCTATCATAACGAAAGGTTGTTTGTAATTCTGTTTATTAATCATGTCAAATTACTAACTACTTTGCAAGATCAGCTAATAGATGAATTAAAATAGATTAATTAATTTGAATGATACGATAATATGTTTCGGTATCTAATAATAACAGTCTAAACTTGCAACAACAACAAAATCTCATTATAAATATATATGTCCAAACAGACGAGGATCCATGACTTTTTAAAAATGACGATTAAAACGAAAAGTTAGAAGATCGCGAAATCCAAGATTAATAATCGTAGCACAAGACAGTGGCCAACCTCAAATGAGTAAAGACAGCAGATTAATCCATATACATGTACAGTCATGTACCATCACAGTAAAAACTAAAGCACTAAGAGTTAGTTATATTTATAACGGAAGAACGTTCAAAAGTCATTTTGTATAGCTATACACACACGACATCATATATTTTCCTGTCGCTGACTTGATTGCTCTGCCTCGAACCGCTCGACTAGAACGAACTCGTCATTGGCATTGACGGTGCCGTCCAGGGTACTCTGTTTCCTCATGACGCTACGGAGCGATGTTGGTCGACCGCCCCGGCAACATCGGCTGCAATCACACTCGCCTCGGCGGCATCGAAGGCAGCATTCTTCGCGACAGAGGATGAGGCGTCTGACATGAGGATTGAAGCTCGGGTGCGTCATCCCGTAGACGATCGGGTGAATGCTGGCGGTCATGATGGCGATCGTCTCGCTGACTTGAACCACGATCTCTTCCGTGAGCTAAGAAAATAAAATTGATTGACGTATGACATTTAATGTTATGAAATTATTCATGCATTACCCACAATTAAAGGCACAAATTAAGCAGGTTGAATGGGTTCTGGGACAATTACCCCGAGGAAAATCACCCCCGTAAAATTACCCCCAGAGGACATTTACCCCCGCCCCCTCGAAAATTATTACCCTCGGGTTTTTGTCCGCGGGGATGGTTGTCCTTTGGGGGGAGCGGGAGGGTGGGGGGAGGGGTGGTTGTCCTAGGAGTCATTTTTCCGGGGGTGATTTCCGGGGAGTTATTTTCCGTGGGTGTAGTTTTCGGGGGGATGATTATCCGGGGTCGATTGTCCAGGGGGTAATTTTCCTTATACGGGTTGAATGAAATCAACGTTTGATAACTCATTCTCGCCGAGGGAGCTAAATGCAAAATTATAGTCAAATAAACAAATCAGGGGGCGAAGCTAATAAGGAGGGTGTGGGGATGTGATGTATAACCGACCCATATTCAAAATTCTCTATCGGCAAATTTAGAACTTTAGAGCATGGAAAATCTCACTAGATACCATGATTGCATCTGTCCTCCGTGGCATAACTACAGGGGTCATGAGGGAATGTTTTTGAAACAGATATATGGCGCCATACAAATGCTGTGAATCATCATCATCATCTTTAGCAATGTGCCACCCCCACACCCTTCTCCATAGACTGGCGATAACAAAAGTGAGAAAAGATCTTTTTTTTTTTAAAGGAAAAGGGAGGGAAATCCGACGAGAAAAGAAGACGTAGCAGCCAGCTCCCGCACCCTCCCCCTAATCAATCACCTTGTATATCCACATATCATTTCCTGAGTATAAGACCGATCCCCCCCCCCCCCCCCTCCCCCTCAATCGTGACATGGGCGGATTCATGCTATGCCAATGTCTGTCCTCGGATTACATGCTATAAATATAACATCTGCATTATATGCAACTAATGGATCGAACAAGGAAATAATATATGCCATATTTTCATCCAGCACTTTATATTACCAGGGGGTGTTTCACAAAGATTCTAAGTCAAACTTAAATCTAAGTTGGACTTAAAAATTATGGAGAGCCATTTTTAGCCTTAAAATAAAATATATTTAACAGCAAAAATTAAGGTATTTCAGACTTTTCATAAATTCCACATCAAGAACATGAAATCTTTCATAATAATAGAAAATATGATTGATTTGAATAAACATTTTATGCCTTTTAAAATAAGTTTTACAAAATATTTTCAATGATGCTAACGGCTTTCCATAATTGTTAAGTCCAACTTAGAGATAAGTTCAACTTAGGATCTTTGTGAAACAGCCCCCAGATCTTAATTCAGTTTCAATTCAATTTCAATTTGAATGACGTTTTACCAACCTTATCCAGAGGAAGTATCATAAGCACTATACTCGTGATGTAGAGGCATCCGAAGTTGAAGGTGAAGATGATGACGATGAAACAGACCGTCTTCAAGATCTTGAGCTCGTAGTCGTGATCGTCCTCGGCCTTTGAAGCCGTGGTCGAATCCTTCGACGACGACGCATCTCGGTTCTTGACCTTGATGGAGGAGCCGCGTTTTCGAAGCTTGCGCCTGATGAGGAAGTAGATGATGGTGATGATGACGAGCGGGGCGATGTAGGAGAAGACGAACGAGATGATGACGGCGACGCGGTACTGCGGATCGGAGTAAGCGCTCGCAGCATCGGAGTAGTTGCCGTAGAAGACGGGGGCGCAGATGATAAGTGAAACTGTTCGATGAAAAAAAAACGACGCTAAAAATAGCCTGCCATATGAAATCCTCAAATTTTGAATGATTCTACCGGACGTGCTAGAAATTACTGGGCTTAGAGCCAATACTTCTGCCGGGACTTCTGCATATTAAAATTATCATTGTATTAATGTGACGAAGATAAAAAAGCGTTTGTTCCCTTTTTTCTATTTGATGAGTCATATATTGGACAGTTAAATCATATTTCTCAATGTGAAAATCACTCAAGCCTCCATTTCCTCCCTTTTCACCTTGATGTGTGTTTGCACATCGAAAGTGAAAACAAAACGACCATTGTGAACAAAATGGCATTGTCTTTGCAAGATGAATACGCCTTGGGCAAAAAGACAATTGAAAAGACATAAATAAATTAAAACGAAAACATCGCTAGATTTATATTTATATTATCTATAAGGTTAAGGTATAGTCCGGCGATTTGTTGATTGATTGATTTTTCTTTTTACAATGGTATGATTCAATTTTATAAGTGAATTAACTTACCTGTCCAGACGGCGATGCATGATATCACAGCGACCCTCGTTCTCTGGAACTTGGCCGACTTCTTGGGGTCGACAATAATCTTGATATATCTCTCGATCGACAGGGCTGTCAGCATGGCACATGTATTATTGGTGATCACCTGTATGATGGGGATCAAAATAATATTTCTTTTCGACTTGGATGTCGCTAAAAAATTTCGATAATTGAATTGCCCGTTCAGTGACATTTTAACTGTAGGCATATGCTTGTAAAATGAACATACATGGACATTCACAGTACAAAACAACAATAAACATAACATTATAAGAACGCTGCATAATTTCCCCAATGAGTCACTCAGTTTAAATATGATACAAAAATAATTATTTGATATAAGTAATTGACAAATAATTTCGTTGAAGTCGGATGCGGATATTTAGTATTATCAGAAATATAGTTCCTTTAAGAGATGAGGAAGTGAAGGGCGGCAATGTCGGGGTTACAGTTCATTGACGTCATTGTATATGCTGATAACCACAAATTGTTATGTGCAAACATATACGCTCAGGGGCAGTGCGAGGGTATTTTTTTTAAGGGGGCTTGGATCTACACACAAATCTGAAGAACAAAATAATAATTTGGTTATAGATTTGGACAAAATACAAAGGGTGAGTCACCTCACCGATGAGGGGGAGTGTGATGGCATCATACAACTCACCAAAGATACATAAAGGTAAGCCGATGAAGATATCAGACTCTCCGTCTGGATCATCATGGCCAACTTCAGATAATACACGACATCGGTGATGGCCAGGACGGCGAGGTAGAGAAAATGCGTCATGCAGAGGTTGGCCACGAACAGATTCGGGAAGGTGTGCATGTCGCGGTGGGCGATGATCACGTAGAGCATGATCGAGTTGGCCAGGACACCGACGACGATGAGGCCCAGAAGGATGGGCGAGAGGACGGTGTCGAACCTGGCGATGATTTGGCAGTCGGAGACGGAGAGATTCGCACCGCACGTCGACGACACCGTCGTCGAAACGGAATCCATGATTGTGACGACGTTGGAAAAGTTTCTCTCTTACAGATGCAGTTGCTTATAAAATGACCACAAGTACTGTATTACAAGTACTAGCTTCGATTAAAATATACTTGATTTATTTATATTTAAAACACAGTGCGAGTGAATCTTTCTAAAGTAAGCTCTAATTGTGGAACAATGATGAATGAAGATGAAATCCCATTGCTGTTTAGACCTCCATGAGAGTGAAATACATGTCATGACAATTCATCTTCCCAATGCATGCAGTCATGACAGTTACAATCTAGCAAGGCCTGTCTATCCCTACTTCAGCTGTAGGCCTGGAAGTCGTCTATACTCGGACATGATATAATACGCTGTCATCGATATATCACAGGTTGACTTGACCATACGATATCAGACACGAGCGGGGATAAGATTTCACTTTCGACAGCTCGAGGATCACTAGCTCACAAACAAAACGGCCATTGAATTTCTCAAGAGCGATATTTGAAACTGTAGGTCTACGACAATGAGGGGATGTGCATGACTTGTCATCTTGCCAAGCACTTGAACAGCCGATGGATCAAAATAGGATGATACTGTTGGAAAAGTAATGAAGAAATGAGGTAGAACAATGAAGATATTAGAGAATCGAGAGGAGGGGGAGGAGGAAGAGGAGGAGAAGAAGAAGGAGGAATAGAAGAAGAAGAAGAAGAAAAAAGATATTAAGCGAAGAGGAGCAAGAAGAATGTTAATAGTTATAATAATAACAAGTAAACAAAATTAAAAAAAGAGGAACTAGAAAAACAAAAACAAAAACTTCAAGAAGAGAGGAAAGAATAGGAAGTGAAAAAACAAAATGCAAAGAGATCGAAGTCAAACGAGAGGAAGGATGTGTCAGTGTGTGTGAGATATAAATAGAGAGAGAGAGGGGGAAGAGGGAGAGAGAGAGAGGGGGGAGAAGAGAGATAGGGAGAGGAAGAGAGAAAGAGAGAGACACAGAGAAAGAGAGAGAGACAGACAGAGAGAGAGAGAGAGATACAAAGAGGGAGAGAAGGGTGGGCAGGTAGACGGATGGAAAGCGAAAGAGAACGATGGGAGAATGAGAATAGAGAGGGTAATGGCGGAGGGGCTGACTTGAGTGGGCGTTTGGATGGCAGCGGAATATGACACTTTATATGCCTAAAATGTATTCAGTCGCGGATCCAGAATTTCTTGGGGGGGGGGGGGGCCAAATTTGAAACTAATTTGAACTTGAGTGTGCTAAAATTTGAAAAATCGTGCCGGCCGATATTTCGCTTAGTTGGGGGGGGGGGGGGGGGGTAGTGAGCACTAAATATTTTCTATTTTGTCCCCGAAAATTTGAAAATCGCTCATGGGGGGGGGGGGGACATAGTGAGGCTAAAAAAAAAACTAAACGCCCCCCGCCCCCCATTGAGCAAAAAAGAAAAGGTAAATTTCTGGTCCTCATTTTTTTTTCTACTTCACAAGAATATTATTGTCCTATTGGGGAGAATTTCCCGGGGGTAGTTGTTATCCTTGGGGTGCTTGTCCTCAGGGGTAGTTTTCCAGGGGTAGTTGTTATCCTTGGGGTGCTTGTCCTTAGGGGTAGTTTTCCAGGGGTAGTTGTTATCCTTGGGGTGCTTGTCCTTAGGGGTAGTTTTCCAGGGGTAGTTGTTATCCTTGGGGTGCTTGTCCTTAGGGGTAGTTTTCCAGGGGTAGTTGTTATCCTTGGGGTGGTTGTCCTTAGGGGTAGTTTTCCAGGGGTAGTTGTTATCCTTGGGGTGGTTGTCCTTAGGGGTAGTTTTCCAGGGGTAGTTGTTATCCTTGGGGTGCTTGTCCTTAGGGTAGTTTTCCAGGGGTCCTTGGGGTCATTAGGGGTGTAGTTGTTATCCTTGGGGTGCTTGTCCTTAGGGGTAGTTTTCCAGGGGTAGTTGTTATCCTTGGGGTGCTTGTACTTAGGGGTAGTTTTCCAGGGGTAGTTGTTATCCTTGGGGTGCTTGTCCTTAGGGGTAGTTTTCCAGGGGTAGTTGTTATCCTCGGGGTGGTTGTCCTTAGGGGTAGTTTTCCAGGGGTAGTTGTTATCCTTGGGGTGGTTGTCCTTAGGGGTAGTTTTCCAGGGGTAGTTGTTATCCTTGGGGTGGTTGTCCTTAGGGGTAGTTTTCCGGGGGTAATTGTCCTGATACGAGGGAGGGATATAGATGACGGTGGAAGGGGGAAAGAGAGAGGGAGAATGGGAGAGAGAAAATATTAGTATTTTAGGAAATATTAAGTTTCGTTATTATATGTACATATATTATGTAAAAAAAAAAATTTACATAAAGAAATTATTGTTTGTTTATGTTGTATTATACCTTACATTTATATGTTCTTTGTTATTCAGGAAAATTATTATGTTATTATTGGAAAAAATGCAAAAATAAAATAAAATAAAATAAAATCAAGTGTTAACCGGACGGCAAAGTAACTTCCTATTAACGGGTAAGTCTATTCCGGCCCCTCCCCCTCACTCCACCTGAGAAAGGTTTCACTTCTGATTGGTTAAAAAGATTGCTTTATCGCTCGTCATGAATAGTATGCTTTTCGTGATTGGTCAGTTAAGGGATATTTTCTTTATTTTAATTTTAAAAATGATAAATTAGCAATGCTTTTTCGTTCAGTTTCATCCCCTTTTGTATTAAAAAAACAAACGATTTTGTCATTAAATTTCATGTAAAAGTGGAACGAAATGTTTTTTTTTATTGGTAACCAAACAATAATTTTCGAAACTGAAAGCAAGGTTCATGCTCCACGATTGGTCAGTAATATGTGAAACTCTGATGACGTCATTACATTGACATTGACAAGTTGAATGACAGTATCGTCACAAGGCACTGACTTCTGCGCATTCCAGGGCGTGGCAGGGCGTAGTTAAAGCGTGTAACGCCAATAGGGGCCACTAAACTGGAAGCATAATGATGCGCTTCATGTATGCGCTGCGCGTTGCAAGTATTTACGCCTTATCTAACGCCCTGGTAACAAAAATGTACACAAATCACATTCTCTTGCACTTTAGCGATCTCGAGAACTTTCTGCCAAACTTTTGACAGTTTTTGCCTATTTTTCACTCTTTTAAAAGATCTTATTTCCATCCGCCACGTAAGTACCTAATTCTTACACATTAATGATTATTTAGAGCAAATTTGAAAAAAATCGGAGCAATATCCTATATTTTATCGAAGCAAAAAGAACTTTTCGTTGACTTTTGTTGGTGTTCACATCCATTCCCGTATCATTAACATTAACATGTTAACGATGATCTTGATCATGATATCTGCCAAACCCGCTTACGTGATGACATTATCTCCCCTTTTCTTTTCATGTGCTATTTATACAATTCAACTTCGTCTCCTTTTCTTCTTCGCCCCCACCCCCTCGTTTAGATCACAGTATCTAAATAATATCACTAGAAATGTTTTGCGTTGGACGGATCCGCTCCCCACACCCCTATATCCTTGGCAGACCTTTACCCTGTATCGGGTCAGCTTTTCCTGATGCCATCCAACCACCGATGGCTATCCCCCAGGATGTAAGCAAGAAAATTAAACATGAAATAAAATAAATAAAAGAATAGAAAAATGATCTATAGATTAGATACAGATAGATACGACAAATACTTCAAACGATCAACAAAAATGATAACCAACGTAAAATATATAGGCAAAAATGTAACAAAATGAAAAAGAAAAAAACATTTATTTGGAAGAAAATACGAAAAAGAAAATATAAAACACATTAAGATAGTATACTTTGCGTTTACCATGCATAGTCAATTGAATTTTGTAAGTGGCCTACTATATAGCCGTATACATGGACACATCATTCACCGATACAAATTTAAAAAACAGTTACCATTTTTGCCTCAAACTTAATATAAACAGGAGCTATGTAGGTCCTTCCAAGACCCCAGCTTCTATCTGTCTTCTGCCATCTCACCCACACCAGCTATGTCGGGCAAGCTCCTTCTGAAGTACCTCCAGAACAACTTGGAGAAAGAACAACTTCAGCAAGGCATTGTTGTAAGTCTTGAGGACTAGAAAAGTAATAATAGTTGAAATCAATTAATTCGGATTTCTCATT